AAACAACTAGATGATCAAAGATAATTGGCTGTAGAAGTTTTGTTATATCTCTATTTTTTCCAATGTGTTGCTCCGCAATTGCTTGCAAAAAAAATATTAGAGTTGTTGAGAAAATAACCTCCCAAAGATTGCCCAAGAAATTAAGCTTGACAATGTGAAAAATTCCCAAACCACTTCAAGAACAAGAAAATGGAGAAAAAATGATTTTCAATATATATTGGAAGAATAATGGATTGGATTACTTGAACAAGCCTCAAGTTAATTCCCAAGAAAAGAAAATAGCTTTGAATTTATACCCAAGAAGAACAACCTCTTACTTGTTAAATTCAATCCAAACTCTCTCACTTTTCTCTCTAAAATCGGGTTACAATGAAGGGGAAAAACCAGCTATATAAATAGCTGAGTCGGGCGCCATGGCGCCCATGAGTGGCGCCATGGTGCCAAGTTTAGGCAGAACCTTGGGCGCCATGGCGCCAGCATCACTGGTCCATTTTTCAAGTTTGGGCGTCATGACGCCCAATCATGGCGCCAGACTCCCTGCACCACCTCTATCTCACAAGAGTCAACAAATATAATTAAAGAAAGCATGGATTTTATGAGCGACATTGAGAGAGAGAGAGAGAGAGAGAGAGCTTGCAATCAGAACACTTCAAATTAAGTCAATGGACATGCGCGGTATTATCTAGTTGCTCAATGTTTTAAACGCTTATAAGGTAACGAAATCTAGGAAAATAGTGTTTAATATTGTGAACATCTCTACAATTTGAAAAGAAATATTTATTCAAGAATCAATAATTGATTCATAATAGTCTAGCTTTGTAATATTTGAACATGCATTTATGAAATTATCTGAATGTGAATACAGATGAAAAGTCTTAGTGATGGACTAACCTAGAAAGTCTTTGCTAAGTCTTTGATATCATTTTCAGGTTACTACAAGTTAGTCCCATGCTCATGCAGTTATCTTTATCTGACAATGATAATTTATCTTCTGGTATTTTTTAGATTCACTCGTTTAGAAGAAGAAGACAAACAAGCATTAAACAAGAAATTAATGCTGATGAAATGGAATAAGGAGAAGTCAATTGTACTATGAGGTGAATAGACGTGATAATGAAAAAACTATTTATTTGAATACTCAGAGTACGGGGCCAATGTTGAAGGTCTATTTCCCAAGTTTCCATTGAGGTACTAATTCCATTGAGGTACTTTTAAATTAGTGATGGCAATTTACCCCGTCTCGGTGGGGCAAAAAAACTCGCCCCATGAATTTTTTTTTGATTAAAAGGTTAGGGTTCAACTTACTTCAAATAGAAGGATGTGGCCTATTTTTTAGTATCCTCAATTGTACAAATTTTATCAAACTTGACTAATTTATATATATACCATTATGCTACTTTGTCAAATTGATAAAAACAAATATAAAAAGATATAAAATTTTCAACTGAACAAATTTGAAAATCTATATATTGTAATAAATTAAAGTATGTGGGGTTACAACTTTTGTGACTATATTAAAGGAAAAAACACAAAAAACCTTTGTTCATCCTAATAATCAATGTTGTGTACCAATAACGACTATTATATTTAAGATTTGTAGTATTTATTTTGAATATTAACTTTGTCAGCTTGAATATTATATGTATTTTATTGAACTACGAATTTGGGAAAAAAAAAAAAAACGGGGCAAGCCTCTTACCCCGCCCTGTTGCCATCACCATTCTAAATCTACCTAGAAAGTTTATGCACTTATGTTTATCTTTTGCTAGGGAGGAAATAGAAAATATTTGTGATGTCCTTTATTAAATGCCTTTTGACGAAAGAAGGTAAAATAAATGTTAGGGTCATGTTATTGCGGGTATAACATTGATAAAATTGACATGATTTTTTTTTCTTTTTTAAATTGTCGATATCTTTTTAATTCATTGGGTCTTTCGTTTACTAATCTATTTGTATCACTAGCAAACCATGCTATTGACAGTGAGATGTTGATGGAAATGGAAATTTCATTTTGAATACATTAACAAGCACAACAATTATATAGTTAGATATTCAATAAGGATAAAGTTAGTAGAGGACGAAAATTGATGAAATACTTCTTCTTTAGTAGATTATTTAGTTATGTACCAGAGATTATAGAAAACAAGAAGACGAAGTGAGTTTTTGTTCATTTTTTCTAATTATTTACTAATTTTTTTTAGTTGTTTAATGATTTGAAGAAATATTAGTGCTTCATTGTTAATTAATTGGATCATCCTTCATTTTTAGTGCAAGAAGTGTCCAAGAAAGCTTTCTTTATCTTTAAGATAGTTGGGAGATCTTACCCAAGAAATTGGTAAAAAATGGAAACACCAGAACACAGGAATAGATTTAATACCAATACGGACTGCCCACAAGACCACTTTGATTATGAGGATGCTAACGTAGTGGCCATAAAATACCTTTTGTGCTATTTTAAAGTTGAAAAAAAAAAAAAAGAACTTCCATTCTAAGACCACGAACCACTCTGGTCTATTTATTTTATTACATCTAATATAAGAAGCAAAACAACTAGAAAATCAAATATAATAGGCCATAGTAATTTTGGTATATCTCTATTTTTTCCAATGTGTTGAGCAGCGATCGCTGGCAAAAAAATATTAGCTCCGATAAATATAATTTAAGAAAGTATGGATTTTATGGGCGACTTTGAGAGAGAGAGAGAGAGAGAGAGAGAGAGAGAGAGAGAGAGAGAGAGAGAGAGAGAGCGTGCAATCAGAACACTTCAAATTGAGTCAATGGCCATGCACAGTATTATCTAGTTGGTCAATGTTTTGATCAAAACTCTAATAAGGCAACGAAATTTAGGAAAAATGTGTTTAATATTGTGAATATCTCTACAATTTGAAATGAAATATTTATTCAAGAATCAATAATTGATTCGTAATAGTCTAGCTTTGTAATATTTGAACACGCATTTATGAAATATCTGAATGTGAACACAAATGAAAAGTCTTAGTGAAGGACAAACCTAGAAAGTCTTTGTGAAGTCATTGATATCATTTTCAAGTTACTCCAGACAATCTGATAGAGAATTGTACGGGTTAGCCCCATGCTATGCAATAATCTTTATCTGATAATGATAATTTATCTTCTGGTATTTTTTAGGTTCACTCGTTCAGAAGAAGAAGATGAACAAGCATGAAACAAGGGATTAATGCTGAAGAAATGGAATAAGGAGAAGTCAATTGTACTGTGAGGTGAATAGACGTGATAATGAAATAACTATTTATTTGAATATTCAGAGTAGGAGGCCAATGTTGAAGGTCTATTTCCCAAGTTCATATTGAAGTCCTTCTCAAACGTAGAAGGTTAATGTACTTGTGTTTATCTTTTGCCAGGGAGGAAATTGAAAATATTTATGGTGTTTTGTATTAATTGCCTTTTGATGAAAGAAAGTAAAATAAATGTTAGGGTCATGTTATTGCAGGCATATCATTGATAAAATTGACATGAAATATATTTTTTTTTTTTTTGCTGTGTTAATAAATAAATACCTAGGTAAAATGTCAATGCCTATTTAATAGACTGAATCTGTCGTTTACTGATCTACTTGTATCACTAGCAAACCATGCTATGGACGTAGTGAGATGTTGATGGAAATGGAAATTTCATTTTGAATACATTAACAAGCACAACAATTATATAGTTAGATATTCAATGAGGATAAAGTTAGTAGAGGAAGAAATTTGATGAAATACTTCTTCTTTAGTAGATTTATCAGCTACGTACCAGAGATTATAGAAAACAATAAGCCTGGAGCAAGTTTTCGTTCATTTTTACTATTTATTTACTAATTTTTTTTAGTTGTTTTATGCTTTGAAGAAAAATTAGTGCTTCATAGTTAATAAATTGGATCATCCTTCATTTTTAGTGCAAGAAAGTGTCCAAGAAAGCTTTCTTTATCTTTAATTAAGATAGTTGGGAGATTTTACCCAAGAAATTGGCAGAAAATGAACACCAGAACATGGGAATAGATTTAATACCAATACGGACTACCCACAAGACCACTTTGATTATGATGAAGCAAACATAGTGGCCATAAAATACCTTCTGTGCTATTTTAAATTAAAAAATAAATAAATTAATAATAACTTTCATTCTGAGAGCATGTACCACTCTGGTCTATTTATTTTATTACATCTAATATAAGAGGCAAAACAACTAGATGATCAAAGATAATTGGCTTTAGTAGTTTTGATATATCTCTATTTTTTCCAATGTGTTGTGCCGCAATCACTTGCAAAAAAATATTAGCGTCGAAAAATATAATTTAAAAAAGTACTGATTTTATGGGTGACTACGAGAAAGAGCTTGCAGTCAGAACACGTCAAATTGAGTCAATGGACATGCACAGTTGGTCAATGTTTTGATCAAAACTCTAATAAGGCAACGAAATCTAGGAAAATAGTGTTTAATATTGTGAATATCTCTACAATTTGAAAAGAAATATTTATTTTCAAGAATCAATAATTGATTCATAATAGTCTAGCTTTGTTATATTTGAACATGCATTTATGACATTCTCTGTTCATTTGAATGTGATTACAAATGAAAAAGTCTTAGTGATTGACCAACCTAGCTAGTCTTTGTGACAGTCTGATAGAAAATTCTACTAATTAGCCCCACGCTCATGCAGTTATCTTTTTCACAATTTTAGGTTCACTCGTTCAAAAGTTGAACAAGCATTAAACAAGAGATTAATGCTAATGAAATGAAATAAGGAGAAGTCCGTTGTACTGTGAGGAGAATAGACATGATAAGGAAAAATTACTTATTTGAATATCGATCAGATTAGGAGGCCAATGTTGATTGTCTATTTCCCAAGTTTCCATTGCGGTCCTTCTCAGTCTACCTAGAAAGTTAATGCACTTATATATCTTTTGCTACAGAGGAAATAGAAAATATTTATGATGTCCCGTCTTAAATGCCTTCTCACGAAAGAAAGTAAAATAAATGTTAGGCTCATGTTATCGTGGGCATGACATTGAAGGTCCCACCTTGTTTAACGTCTCATCGAATGCTAAAGTCATTATTAACCAAAGTTCTAATCTCTTCTCTCTCATATATATACATGTCCTTGTTTCGGCTTGATGAATATTAAACTGAGGCGCAAAGATGTCTAAAGCTTTTCTCATTTCTATGTTCACCTTTACGATATTACTTTTCGGCAAAGCAACAATTATTTTAGCACTGAGTGGATATCTCCCTGATGAGGAACGTAAGGATCGTTTCTTTTATGTAAACCATTTCTTTCTTTTCCATTCACGTGTTTAGCTCATTAGGGACTCCACAATTTTTAGCCTTCCATTAAACTTCAGGTTATCCTTAAAAGTTCACTTTGATCAACATGAATCCGATCACATTTCTATTTTAGAATAGAGTTCTGATTTTTGCAGAGAATGCTCTTCGTGAAATTGCTGATCAGTTGGGCAAAAAGGACTGGAACTTCAACCTGAATCCTTGTGCTAATAACTCAAACTGGAATACACCGAAACGAGAAGATATTCCATGGTACAACAATTCCATCATCTGCAATTGTACTTTCCCTGGTGGTGTATGCCACGTAAAATCAATGTAGGTTTTCTTGCTGAAAACTTATCGTCTTTTTCATTAGTTTAGAAATAGCCATTTGTGCTATTAAATTGCAAGGAAGCAGGAATCACGGAAAATATATTCTGCTTCTATTGATCTTGAAGCAGCTATATATCGGGTTTTCAGTATCTGATTTTGAGACGTGGAACACCATATAATGGTTGGTTATCTATTTGTCGATTCTTAAAATGGTATTTTAAGTGGGAATTATTGTACTTTTTTCATGCTTAAACCTCAACAGAACTTATGGTGCCTAGTAATTAAACTTGACCTTTATGACTTTTTTCATATGAATAATGTTATCTAACACTAGTTTAAATGTCACCATGCAATGGGCTAAATGAAAGGAAGAGTCATGTGACTCACTTAATGACACTTGGTGCCACCAAAATTGGTATTATAATACCAGTGGTGCCATAAAGCATTACTCATTTTATATTGCTAAACTCTCTATCTTCATCATCATTAACCATGATTTGCTCTTAAAGTATGTATAGGAATTTCTGCAATAAGCTGTGTTAGTAATATAACCATTAAAAAAAAAAAAGTTCTTTTTCTCCATTTAGTCAAGCATAAAACTTTATTTCACCATGTTAGTGTTTCAAGTTACATTTTTGATTGTTAAGTTAGAGTTGAAAATGAAATCGTATAACGTTTGTAGTGTGTTCTAGAAGCCACTCTAACAAATTTTACTTGAAACACTCTATACATTTAGCCCCTATTTGGTAGGACTAAAATCTAGATCTTAATCTAAGTAAAAATAAACAATTAATTTTAGCAGCATATTTTATGGATCCAAAACTTTTCAACTGTACATTTCTTCAACTTTTATCAAAATTTGCTAAAAATAATCCCCATCAAACATGGGCTTAATATATTGCATCGTTTCCTTTGAAATCCCTTCAGAATGATTTTTTTAGCTTTGTTTCTTTCACCTCTCAACAAACTTAATTGTAGCACTTATGAAATTTAGACGAAAACTTTTCAATTCAGAGTATGCTAAAGATTGTCTCTTTTCTTTACAAACAGATTTCTAAAAGGACAGGATTTGGCAGGTGTCCTTCCGCCCTCACTGGCAAAGTTACCCTACCTCAAGACAATGTAGCAAGATGTTCCAAGTTTATTTTCAATTTATGAAATCTACTCAGCTTTTTGCTTCGAAAGGTTGAGAGACAATTTATTGGCTACTTTGATCTCACTCTGAATCTATTGGCTGCAGAGATCTTTGTCGCAACTACCTTAATGGTACAATACCCAAGGAATGGGGAGCAACCAAATTGGCGTACATGTGAGCTTTGCCTGTAGCTTTTAATTGAGTTTTTTTGGCAATGATGTAATGTCTACATTCTTAGTTATATTTAAAAAGTATATGTGATATAGGTCTCTTTTCGTGAACCGCCTATCTGGACCCATACCGAAATACCTGGGAAACATTACTACCCTCGTATATGTGTGAGTTCCTATCTAGCTATCTCCCCCTCTATATATCAACTGATCCATAGATATATCTCTCTCTACATATGGTCACTCCCACATAAACAAGCAAACACCATGAATGTTTTGTTTGATAGTGGATATATTTTCCCGGAATTCTAATTGTAATTTTGAAAATCTATTCAACTTTCAGGAACCTTGGGAGTAACAGGTTTAACGGGACCATTCCAGCAGAAATAGGGAAGCTGGTCAATTTAAATAATCTGTAAGACCTTCTCGATCATCCAGATTTTAACAAATTGACGGATTGAATTAGTTGAATTTATATAGGTAGATTACAGAAACGAGGTTCAAAGTTGTTGGTGGGATCAGTTTTGATATGACGATTAGACGAAACTAGATGTTGGAATATCGCAAAAACTTGGACTTGAAACAATACCGGCTTCAAGGCGTATAACAAATATCTCTTTCCTTAAGACGTTATTTGTTTCCACCAATCTGTGATGCACACGGGAATGCAAATACGTCTATAGGATATAATGAAGCCTTTTAGTGTTGTTTGGGCTTTCTCACGAAGACAACCCGAACAGTGGAAAGTCTACTCGAAATTTCCACTTTATATCTACATTATGATAAATACAAACAATATTTAAGAAGATATGAATGCACTAAAGTTGGTATTTTGGATGCAAGAAAGTGTAGAAAATGGTAGAGTCAAAACGGATTACAATTTTACGTATCTTGATTGAAAAAAAAGGCAGTCTATTTATATAGAATTATATTACACGTCTTCCCAAGAGTTACAACACTTCAAGATAATTATTAGAGTTTGAATCACATCAATAAAAACTGAAAAAAATTGAATTCTAATAATCAAACATCAGTTGGGGACGAAAAGACACCATTGTTGTCGCCTGGCAGCGCGGGTGCACTAGCCAACAGTGCACCTGCGCTTCCATTACTCAAATAGTGCAGGTGCACTAGCCTTTGGCGTACCTGCGCTAGTTTATGTTGCAAACTAGTGCAAGTTTTGGTCTATGTTGTCATCTCTTGTTCTTGTCCTATCTTGATCCAATGTTTCTTGAAGTATTCCCTTGATTTAATCTACCAATGTCTAAACGACATTCTTTTGAAAATTATTCCAACAATTCTCTACAATTTTCAAAATAAGCGATAGTTTTACAATCTATTATATAGACTTCACAAACTTTATGCATAGACGAAGGTGCTTTTGGACTTCAACCTTCATGTAGTGAAGTTGTTGCAAATATTAACCTAAGTGATATGGTAGACAAGCTTTGAACCAACAACCCTATATGGGCTAAGCGAAAAACTTCATATACAAGTTTCATATCCTCGTGTGTTCATATAAATCAACATGTGAATATGCCATGTGTCCCATATCCTTAATTTTCAAGAATATCTTAAGTAGCTAGTGAAGCCACTTTGGAGATAAACCATCATCGACACTCATATAGATAGACTTATTGTTATCAAACGAAGATGATACCGGATTAATTCAGTACTAAACTGTTGGAAAAAAATAAGAGATTGTAGCCACAATACGAAGTATTTAATCACAAGAACAAAATAATTTGTAGAGAATGGAAATTTGATTATAATACGGAGAAAGAATACAAAGATTGTGTTTACAATATTTCTAACTTTTTTAACATTATAATGAAGAGCTAACTATATATAGAGAACAAATAAGGGACGTTCAAATCCTAATAGTAGAGTTGTAGTCGAAGTAATGCAAAAAGGAGTCCAAAATTGAGTAGAGAAAGAAATATCACACTGGGCAAAACAGATTAGGTGGCGCCCACTCTCAGGCCCTTTACTTCAAATACTTGATTTTCTTCATCATAATATGCTTTTCAAGTTTAATACAAATTTCAACTCCTAATGGGCTTCCAAGTAGAACGTCAACTAGAATTCGCCAAGTAAACTTAAATAGAATTTCACAATAACATTCCAAATAATTTTTTTCTTAATGTACACTTTAATTAGAACTCTCAATTATTTTCAACAAAGAATTCGGATCACAACCAAATTATAACAATTTCTACCTTGACATGAATTCCACTGCAATGAACAAAACTTCAAAAGAAAAATTCTCCACTTGAAGACAAATTCCATAGCAAGGAAAAAACTTGAACTCTTCAATGAAGGACACAAACGAACTTCTCCATAAAAAAAATTTAACTGAAATATTCTCCACCTATGCTACCCCAATTAAAGGCGAAAGTGATCTAATGACCATCGAACAAATTTGAAACAAGCCCTATAACAGAATTACAACTGTATGTATCATAAGAATGATCTTGGCTAGAAGCAACACCTTTAATCACATTCAAACCATCAACTAAATCAGCAAAATTGTACCTATGTGAAATATTATGGTCAAGAATAAGTCTATTACAAGCAACTAAATACAATGACACCGTCGATAATGATGGTAAGGTGGATTTACCTATAACTTCTAAATTCAACCGAGATGTACTCTTTCAAAAAAAAAAAAAAAAAAAAAAAAAAAAAAAATAAAACCCAAAAAAAAAAAAAACAACCCAANAAAAAAAAAAACTAAAATTAGACTCCAACAATACAGAATCCAACTCCAAATCCACCTGAGTTCTTAAAATATGTTAATTGCTCAAAAATTCTGTATAATACTACAAGAAATATAAATGGAATTTTCTATATCCCTTTAACAAAACACATGCTGATTTACTAACTTTCAGGACTCCACCTTTAATAGTATAACCTAAGGAGATAAGATTTTTCTTCAAATCTGGAACGCGCCTCACTGCATCAAGTGTTCTAACCTTCCCATCAAATATCATTATTCTAATTCAACCAATACAAGCCATCTGATAATGTGTATTTTTACCCATCATTACAATACCTTTTAAACTTCTGCATATGTTGAAAATAAATCTCGATTAGGAGTCATATAAAAAGTGCAAGCATTATCAAAAATTCAAATCTCGTCGTATTTGGAGTTGTAGTTAGACATAAATAAAAGCTCTCTATCATTGTTAGGATTTTTTATTTTTTGGCAATACTTGTTTTTCTTGAAATTTGTGGTCAATTTTGATTATCCTACAACTTATAAGAATCATTTATCTAGCAAACCCTTTTTGTAGTAGTTATAAGATTTGAAGTTAGATTTTGACTTATCCCTTGAACAACCACCATCAACGATGAGGTCATTTCAAAGACCATCAGATGCAACAAGATACTTTATCTTCTCCTTTGAATATAGAACATCATAGACTTCTTAGATGGTGAGAGTATCACAATAATATAAAATCGTGTGTCTAAAAGACATGTATAAAGTGGGCAACAAACACAATAAAATCAATCACAAATCTTCTTCATTATATTTGACCTCCAAGGTCTCCAAATCAACGACGATTTTCTTAAAGGTGGCTAGGTGATCCTCAATAGATATACCTTCTGTCATACAATGCGAATATAGACGTTACTTCAGGCGGAATTTGCTAATAAGACTCTTCATCGTGCATAATTGTTCTAATTTTAAACAGCAGCTGACTTTTCCTTCACAACATCCCAAAGAATATTTTTTGAAAAATGAAGATCTATATTAAATAGGGTCTTTCAATCAATTTGTTGTTTCTCCTATGGAGTCCAAGTTGTGGGCATCTTGTCAAATCCCAATAACGCGTCATTCGAATCCATCTGAGCCCAGTACTGTTCGTATCTCTACTTGCTATAAAGAGAATCTTGTATTGCGATTTAATATCGGAATATCATACTTCATTGTTGTCATCATGAAAGATCAAGTTGATCTATTAACTTGATCAACATCTCAATATTCCCAAGAATTTCAGCACCAAAAGTTCTGATACCAGTTATTGTGAAACGAAAATAATACTGGATTAATCTAATACCAAATTGTTGGAGAAAAATAAGGTATTATGGCCATAATATGAAATAATTGATCTCAAGAACACAAAAACAAAATAATTTGCAAAGAACTGAGATTTTATTATAATATGGAGGAAGAATACAAAAATTTATGTTTACAATGTTTCTAAGTTCTTCTAAATTATAATGAAGAGCCAACTATATATATGGAACAAATAGTGAACGTCCAAACTCTAATAGTGGAGCTGTAGTTGAAGTAGAATACAAAAAAGAGTCCAAAATGGAGTAGAGGAGGAAAAATTGCGTTGGGAGAAATAGAGAATGCGCGCCTCGACGCTTGGCCAAAAACTTCTTGGCATTGCGATGCCCATTCTTGGGTCCTTTACTTCAAAAACTTAATTTTCTTCATCCTAATATCGTATTTATGTCCAATACAAATTTCAACTCCCAATTAGACTTCTAAGTAAAACTTCAACTAGAATTCGTCCAGTAAACTTGAATAGAATTCCATGATAGCATTCCAAATAGGATTATTATTAATGTGCACTCTAATTAGAACTCTCATTTATCTTTGACAAAGAATTTGGATCACACTCAAATTCTAACACTTGTCAAGAATACTAACTTAACTAGAGTATTCTATATATATATCTATTAAAGGCTGAGTAGCTAATCTTTTCCCTTATTGTTACGTGTGCTAAGCACACTTACATAGGTACAAAATGAATATTTCTTGTAATCACCTATTTGAAATACTTTACTCTTTGAACCTAAGAACTTGATGTACGTTAGATCGACTTTTCATCATTGGTGATTAGTTGCATTCCCCGTCTCAATCCCATGAAATTTAACGAGTCAAGGCCTTACGAAAATTTAACATGCCATAGTCAAAGACTAATTCAATCCATTGATCTTGTATAATCAATTACTTAAACCAAGATCATTTAGTTATACCTTTCTCAATTATAATAAGGACATTTAATCATTTAATTGACTAATCAATATTTAATTCTTTTAACGGAAGAACAAAGATTTGCAACACCTTTGAATTAATCAATCCATTCAATTTCCTTTACTTTCTTGGACTTGAGTTTTACACTTCATTGCAGATCAACTAGGTCCCAAACCAGTGGATTTATTTTGCTAGTTCCTTTTCCAAAACCGAATCCTTTGGGGAAGATATATACTGACACTTATGTTAAACAATTCGATCTGGTATACAGGTTGAGCACAAAACTAATTTCATGACTAAGTCTATAAGTATAGAAACTTATTTCAAAATTTGCCTTATATTATTATTTTTTTATTACAAGTAACTTGACAAAAAAATACCTTTAAATTTCCTTATTAATTACAGCAAACATTCATGATAATAATTAGAAAATACATATGATACTAGATCAATATAATAGCAAGTTACTTATTCTAACGTATTTATATCAAAGTCAACTATGAAATCAAATAATAAATCAACGTATAGCAATAATTTATTTTATTATAAACACATACACAAACAAAATGTTTTTCCAAAAAATACCACTCTTTGGCAACACATATTCAAAAATCTCAAAAAAGAAAAAAAACTTGAAAGCATACTTTAAACAAATTCAAATTGCAAAGTTATCCATGTCATCTTGCTTCTTCAAATGGCGACATTCACTTTTGATATGTCGCATTTTGCTACAATTGTAACAAGACCTTCTCCATTTCTTCGAACCCTTTTCTTTTGAATCGTGCTTCCTCTTTATGTTGTTTTTGTTGTTTTGTTAATTTGCTTTTCATCGATCCTTATCCTGAACCACATGAACTTTAGAAGATTGGACGCAGAGCTCCTAAAAAATTAATCATTTTGAACTCTTTCTCCATTCGGAGATTACGACCCAATACTTCAATAGAGATATCCTATTTCTGGTGTTTTAGACTTCTATTATAATCTTTCCAAGATGTAGGTAGTTTGTCAATGGACACATCCATATGATGTGGTATTGAAGAAATTGATTATGTATATGAGTGGTTTCATGAAATTGCTCAATTATCTTCATGCTATCCATCATTCGATATCGAAAGAATTTAGATACAAATAATTTCATACTTGTAGTATCCTCCAACATGCATTTGGCTTCCAATGCTTCCCATATTTCCTTGGCGATTTTCTTCTTGTGGTACTGATCAAAAAGAGAATTATGAGACATTGCATGTTAAATGTGACCCTCGCATATGTAATCATCTTGATCTCATTTTTGTCTAGCTCTTGTATAGCCAATGGTTCATATTTTGTCTCTTCTGGCTTTGGAGTTGTAAGCTTTTACTCCACGTTGAGGATTGTGAGAAGGAAGTGAAGTTTTTTTTGCGATATTCGAAAATTACAATCTTCGAACCTTTCCAATTTGACACAGTCTGCTGCAAAAGCTCGTAACTAAAACATTGGATGTGCCATAGAAAACTTGAAATAATGTCTGAAGACTATCGGTGGGATTAATCTTGAGATGATAAGAAGAAAACTAGAAGTTGGAATATCGCAGAAACTCGAACTTAAAATAGTGTCACTTCCCTCGAGATATTATTTGCCCCTACAAATCCATGATTCACAAGGGAATGCAAATATGGCTCCAGGATAAAATGAAGCCTTTTAGTGTTGACTATGTCGTGCATCCATGAAGAAATCCCGGACATCGAAGAATTTGAAGTCTATATCGGAGTTTGTACTTTATCTCTGCAGTATGATCACGAAGTACAAACAATATTTACACAAAAGTTGGTATTTTGCAGAAAGTGTAGAAAATTGTATAGTGTGCAAACTGATTTCAATTTCATGTATATTACTGCCTTGCAGAGGCAGCGCACCTGTGCCGCCCACCTTTGCCAACCAGGCAGCACAGGAGCACTTCCATGTTGCCCGCCTGCACTAGTTTGCTTTGCAAACTGGCTCAAGTTGTGGTCCATTCCTACGTCTCTCATTCTTGTCCCATCTTGATCCAGTGCTCCTTGAATTGTATTTCCTTGATTTAATTTACCAATATTGTCTAAACGACATTCTTTTGAAAATTACTCCAACAAAAGGTTAGGGACAGTGGCTGTAATTTAACCATTTATGTACGTATGACTTGTCTTTTTTGGTCACTGCAGCTATCTAAATGAGATCAATCTCACTGGTGAGTTGCCGACTGAATTAAATAATCTAAAAATGTTGACAGAACTGTAAGTATTTTACCACACATTTCTAAAAGTATAAAGTTTTTTTAATCTGGAAAAAGTGCACAGTTTTCTGTTATTTTAATGATAACATGTCTTTCGGGGGCTGACGCAGGAGTCTAAGCAGTAACAACTTCACTGGAAAATTACCTAATTTCCGGAGCTGGACAAACCTTACGAGATTGTAAGTCCTTTCCCGAATGACCATTTTCTAGAATGCAAAATTTATAGTTGCGACTTTTGTTTACGTGACATGATTAATTTATTATCAACAGAGAGCTAGAAGGCAGTGGTTTTGAAGGACCCATACCTCCTAGTATTTCCATCTTAAAAAATTTAAGGGACCTGTGAGTTGAAACCTATTCAGTCAGATTTCGGTTTGTCAATACTTCAGTAACAATATTATGTTCATTTACTAAACATTGATAGTGAAGATGACAACTGATGTAATGTGATATCTCTGCAGAAGGATTAGTGACTTGAATGGAGGTGCTTCAGAGTTCCCACTGCTAAAAGACATGAGATCCCTTATGTATTTGTGAGTAAATGTCACTAAATCAATAAACAACTTAGAAGATTGTGATAATTTCTTTTAGACCCATATTATTTTATACATATGTTGTGTGCTAACAGGACGTTAAGGAGCTGTAACATAACTGGAAGCATTCCTAATTACCTTGCAGACATTGGATCATTGAATACTATGTAAGTACTGATTCTAGTAGTAGCACCTCTTTTCTTCTTTTTACAATTACACTCCACATCATAATTGTTTCAATATTCTTGTGACTAAATGCCAACTCTATGAGTTACTTAAAAAGAATATACCCAGCAGCTCGTAGTCCTGGACTCCCTCTAGCATTTTAGTTGTTTTCTTTTCACATTTAGATGAGCTAATTTTTCATGAGATTTAAAGTTAAAGAATTGTGTAAACGTCTAACACAACCACAGTTCTTATTCCTCTTCTTTCATTCTAGAAATAACCATTTATTTGGGAGGCAATGGAAATTCCCGTCAGTGGAATATAAGGAAAGCTCATATATAAGGGAAGCCACCGTATTTAATAAGTTACCATTAATGGATAATTGTAAATGATAGCTAGAATATTTAGTTTTTATATATTTCAATATAACGAGAGAACCTCTTATATTGAGGGGCATGTTTGACATGATATCGGAGCCTATTTCTTAGAATTTTTTGGTGTTTTCTTGGTGCCGTCTAGTCTTCTTCCTCTTTATTTTAGGTTTCATTAAATCTTAAGTGCTCGAATTAGAACTCAATTCATCCTCAAGTGATTTCTCTTTTCTTTCTCCGTAATTGCATCATTAGCAGCCGTCTCAATAGTGGGCGGAGGTAGAATAGCCAAAGCAATAGCGACCTGAAGACTGGGAGAGAGCACTTGACCCCAAGAAATATTAGTTAATTGTTTAGCACAGAGGAAATAGGTTTTGTCGCTTCTATTGATATTAAGGCATTCACTAGTGAGGTGAAAGATGAATTGTATGCTCGCCACCAAACTAAGTTAAGTACTTCACCAAAGCAGTGAAGCAAATCTGTGAAGTGTTTGAAGCGATACAAAGAGAAAAATTAATTGGAAGAGAAGGATTAGGACAAGTTTGTCCCCGCTACTGTTGACCTTATCCATATTCCTTGTGTTCGATCTTGTAGATTGTTATGAACTGAACGAAACCAAGCATACTCGCCGCCGCCGCCGCCGCCGCCGCCGTCGAAATATAAAGCGTCGCCTCCAAAGTTGTTGTCGTAAGTAGTGGGATTTCAGGAACCTTGGGTGCATTAATTCTGGAAAAAAATGGGAATTTCAGTCCATTTACGAGTCCACTAGACGACCCAGGGGCCGAATGTCTCAACGCTGAGAAATTGCTGAAGATGAGAGGGAGCTATTATTCGACCATGAAGCACCATATTTCGCGTTGAATGCTAGCAATTTTGAGGTGCAGAGCCTCGTCAATGATTGGGAATTCCGAGGTGGAGCACCAACCAACATGTCTTTATCTTCCAGAAGCAGAGAGAATTCTTATTGGAATTTGATTTTTTTCCTAGACCCCATTACTTTTCTACAATACTTCACACGCCATCTCACACACAATCACATTTCTGTGAATGCGGCTATGTAAATTTTTGCATAAAATGTGTATCAGTTCAATCCAAGATTGTCAGATTAGAGAGGAAGTGTTATTATTGAGAGTAAAATTAATGGATTTTTAGCAGATATCTGAAGATTCTTAAGCGAATGGGATAAGAAAAGACACTGAGTTATGGATTTGTTGGTGGGCCTACTGCTTTGTTGGTTTGGGCGTCGTTATTATTTGATGACGGGCTAGGTTTTGGAGACTTTAATGGATGCTTGTGGGCCTCAACAATTTTGAATGCTCAATATTAAATTCTAGGCTTTGTTTAGGTTAGGGACTTGTTGAAAGTAGGCTTGGCTTCTGGACATGAGGGTATAACTTGTGAATGGGCTAAGGTAATTACGAGTTATGAGCAGTTGGGCTATAAATTATGGTTTATCTTTGTGGGCTAATTTTATGTGACATATGGATATGGCTTGATTTGCTTCCAATAAGGAGCTTGGGGATGGGTCATTGGGATGAGAGAGACATGGGAGTGCAAACTGTTAAGCTTTGGTTGCTCGGGTGATGAGCATGTTTTGGATTCTCAGATCATCATTTTTGTGTGTGTGTGTGTGTGTATAGGCTGTTTTGTGAGATTTCTTCCAACTATAACATCTTGACTAGCAATATATTATTAGATTTTTGGCCAATAAATTGGCCATTAGAGATTTTGATGGAATACTAATTATGTGTTTGACTAAATTCTCTCGATTAATAGAGCTCATTGTGTGTGGTTAGTACACTTCGTGAATTTCATTTTAAAATTTTTCTTTAGGTGTGAGCTCTCTAGAGTGGTTTTGGAATATTCTTGGAGTAGTTTTTGGATGTTTTTGTACTATTTATTGTTCTTGCCTCTTATCGTCAAAATTTTCCATATTTGGTTCCGTTTGATTTGGATATATTCTTCGTAGGCACGAGCAATGTTGCCACCTTTAGCTTATGATTGCAGCATCAATTTGAGATTTCAGAGGGGATGTTAGTGAAATATAAGGAAAACTATCATATTTAATATGAAAAATTGCAACAGAGGCCCCAAACCTTTAAAACATTAACAGACTTCTACCAAATCTTTAATTTGTTGCAACTATCACTCAAACCTTTCAAAACGTTGCAGTGGAGGCCCTTTTGGACGAGTTTTATCCAAATATCTATTAGTTGAGTAAGAATTTTGATTTTGACCATATTTTTTAATATTTTTGAAAGGGTAAAATAGTAACTTCCATTTATTAAATTAAAATAAGTGAAAAATTAAATTAGGAAAAGTAAGAAATAAGAAATTAAAAAGAAATAAGAAAAAAGAAGAAGCTAGTCGTCTTCTTCCTCCCACCCGCACCCGCACCCGCACCCCAAACCCAAAATCAATCACCGCCACCTTCACTCTTAATTTCTTGCGTATCTTAATTTGTGTAGAATATAAGTGTACAATATTTATTAGAAAGATATCAGATGCTGTGAGCTCTGTATTCTGCAAATCACAGATTTGTGTAAAAATCCAAATTCCATGGCAGCGAGCATTTATTAGAAAGATATCAGATTTGTGTAAAAACCCAAATTCTTCAGCCTTGTATTCTGCAAATCTCTCATCTATATGCCGTGAGCTCCCTTAAATCCACGACATTCGCATTGAACCCAAATTTATAGTCCCTTTGAAATTTGTCCAAGTCAGACTCAATTCCAACGCCCACAAAGTGTAGTCCTGTTCGGAGAGAAACTCAACGAGATGGTCGGGAATATAAGAGGAGTGGATGAGTTGGTAGACCAGACAGTGGCGCTGACACAGAGCTGAAGGAAAAGACATACGTAGAACAAAGGTGGAAGTGGAGGTGGAGGTTGCAGTAGCAGTAATTAATTTTGGTTTTGGGGGTTGGGGTACGAGGAAGAAGATGATTGGCTTTCCACCCCCCTCCCCTTATTTCTTATTTTCCCTAAATTAATTTCTCATTTATTTTAATGTAATAAATGGAAGTTACTATTTTACCCTTCCAAAAATATTAAAAATATGGTCAAAGTCAATATTCTTAGTCAACTAAAAGACATTTGGATGAAAATCGTCCAAAAGAGCCTCTCCCCCAACGTTTCGAAAGGTTTGGAGTGACGGTTACAACAAATTAAAAGTTTGAAAAAAGCCTTCTAATGTTTTAAAGGTTTGGAGCCTCTGCTGCAATTTTCCATATTAAATAAGTTACCATTAATGAATAATTATAATTGATAGCTACCATATTCATTTATGATTTTAATTCTATATAATGTAAGAACCTCTCACATTGAGGGACATCGAGTCTTATTGATTATTATTGAGTATATTTGACACTTACATTGTTACTTGTTGAAGATAGTGACCAAAAACATGAACTTCTTGTACTCCATGGCACAAAAACCTACTTCTTGTAATAAAATATGTACTTGTGGTGGAATTTTTGCTATGGAATAATATGGAGGATGTACCATGTGTGACACGACCCTCTTGAATCACCCTAGTGGACTCGAAACGTGATGTGGATCGATGATAGATGTTGACTAGATGTCAAATCTATCACCAAGGCTGACTATGAGTTATTTCAAAAAATGTAACAAAATCAAATGCTTATTTAAAACATAATGTGATGGGCCCAAAATATTTACTTCGTGATTCATCAAAATGAGTTATAACACTAAACATATTGTGTGACTCTCATTCCGAAATCATTAGGCTCTTCTAGTTAAAAAGAATCAATTGCTACCTGTAGGAAAAATCGAGAGAAAATATATGAATTGATGGCTCAGTGAGTGGAGAAATTCGAAAATAATTATACTCTTTCAATTTTACATTTCTATCGAAAATCGAGTTCATATCATTTAATAATTCACAAGATAACATCATGTAATTATAACCAAAAGTGAAATATTCACGTAAGATTGTAAAATATCATTTCAAAATCATGGTATAAACATCAGCAGATAACCATGCTATAATCTCATTACATCAAACGTGCTGAAAAATCCACCAAAAATGTACCCTCTGACTAAAATATATAATCCGCCCCTCGGGCTAAGAACTTTCGCCACGAGCCTTTGGCCCCTCCGTGAACGAAAGTCAATTTTAAAGACCTCTAGTAATCAATTTTAGAATACGGTCAAGGCCCCTCAGTGAACTATATGTACACGGTCGAGACCCCTTCATCCCCGGTCCAAGACCCCTCCGTGTAGTATAGAACACGGCCAAGGCCTCTCAATGAACTAGAAGAAATATATAATCACGGGTACTTTTCTTGTCAATCTCAAAATCACATCTCATATTTCAATTCACAATATACCGTATACAATCTTTGAAATCTCACATGTATCATAATAAAAGACATTTCCATAATAACCATATAATTCGAACACATAATTGCATATAATTGCACATACTTTAACAATAAACTTAATTTATAAATACTTTAAAAATATTTATATTTTTTCACTCACAGTAGTACTATGTTCGCAAAATCAACCTGGTTGGTAAGTTGTCCTGATATCCGTATCGCCGTCTAGAATATGATATAGTTTTTAAATCAACTATTAATTATTTTAAATAATTTCAATAATTAAATA